CAGCATGAAGGGTCCTCAAAGCTTTAAATACAGAGCTACCTATGACCCAGCAATTCCACTTTGGGGTATTTATCCAGAGAAAACGAAAACACTGACTCAAAAAGGTATAAGCAGCCCCATGTTCACTGCAGCGTTATTCACAAGAGCCGAGATATGGAAGCAACCTAAGCGTCCACTGACGGATGAAGGGATAGAGGATGTGGTCCATGTGTGCAGTGGAGTGTTACTCAGCCGTAAAAAAGAATGAAATCTTCCCATCTGCAACAACATGGACGGACCTAGAGGGTACTGTGCTGAGTGTAATAAGTCAGAGAGACAAATACTCTAAGCTCTCACTTATATGTGGAATCTAAAACACACACACACAAGCTCGTAGATACAGAGAACAGATTGATGTTTGCTGGAGGAGGGGGTTGGGGGTGGGAGAAATGGCTGAAGGGGGTATAAATTTATTAAAAGTTTAAAAATAAAATAATCTAAAAAACAAACCCAGAAGCTGCATGCTGGGTGGAAGGACACGGCCTAGCATTTGTGGTCATGGGGGGAAGACACGACTTGGACCACAGAGCACTTGTCACGTCCTGAGGAGCCCTGAGTTATGCGGCTCTTATTTCTGGTGCCACTCGAAGCCCGCCTCTGCCTGTGACCTCACTGATAACCACCCTGTCCTTTCTTTTTCTGTTGGTGCCTCCGTGACTGTTTTTAAGGCCACTGTTCTCCTTTCCTCCTCTCCCCTGACCTGGCCGATTGCTCCATCCCTAGCTCACTGTCCCGCCTTCAGTATCTCAGCACGGGGACTTGACCTGGTGGGAGACATGTGGCCCTTCTAACACTCAGGTGGCAGCGGAGTGCACACAGAGGTGGGTCACACCCCTGCTCTGTCACTTAGCTGGGTCACCTGATGCGGCTGGGCCCCAGCATCTCCTCTGTGAAGCCGGGATAAGACGCTGCAGGATGACTGAAGATCACATGTGCCGACCCCTCTCTGAGGGGCCCAGGAACGTGGGGAGGGCTCGGTGAGCATCAGCTGGCGCTGCCCCTTGAGCGCTGCGCCTCCTTTTCCCTGTTTGGCACAGCCAAGGAGCTTAGGGGTCAGAGGAGTTCCTGTTGTCCCCAGAGGGAGATCCTTTTACTGGCAGGAAGAACACCCGAGGCCACCCTCCGAACAGGCTCGACAAACAAACACACAAGCGAGAGGGAGCCAACCTGGGCAGCATCTAGCATGGCCCACGTAAGAGCAATTCAGCCAGACGGCCTCTCCCAGCCTTTAATTTCCCTCCCAGGGCCCTGCTCAGGCCACACACACATGCACACACACACACATTCACGTTCACACACTCACACATGTGTGCACACACTCATGCACACACATACACATGCACCCTGAAACCACATTCATTAACAGATGAGCTACATAAACCCTCTCAGCACATCTCTGGGGACATGAATGGTGAGAACCCAGGGAAAGAAAATTGATTTTCCAGTTTGGAGGTGTGTGCTGGTTAGGTGACACATGCCAGCCTTAGGGGGGCACGGGGTGGGGAGGGGACTGGCCTGTCTCCAGGGCTGCAGCTTCTGTGCGAGGGTGAGTGGGTCCCAAGGGCTTCTAGCCTCAGCCTGTCTAGGGGACCACGCCGGCTGTAAATGTTCTGTGATCGGGGTCGTTACTCTGCTTCTTGGCTCCAGGCTGCCCCTCCAACCCTAATGACCTGTCCCCACCCATACAGGGACACTGGAAGTCACAGAAAGGAAACCATGAGGCTCAGTGATTGGCAGAGAAAGGTCACTTCCTCAAACCGCTCCCTGAGGGGCTGGGCGGTCTGGTGAGACGACAGGCACCGTGGGTCCCTGCTTTCTCTCAGCTAGACGTGTGGTCACAGAAAAAGCAGCCCCCCAGTGACACCCGGTTTCTTTATCTGTAACATGGGGGCGAGAGTGTTAGATGTCGCTCAGGCCCCTGTACGTGAATGGGCTGGGGTGCCGAGACCTGAGTGCCCATGGGGACACAGGATGGGTACCGGAAGGAGCGAGACACACTGATGCGCCTAAAACAAATTCAGAGGCTGTCGGAGAACAACTCCTCTCTGAATCCCACACCCCAAATGTCCCTGTCCCTCCTTTCCAAGTGGGAACATTCTAGGCGCCCATGGACATCCCCCCACCCTGGGCTCTGAACTGCTAGCAAGCTGCCTGCTTCCTGGGCGGAGGAGGGGGCTGGAAACGGGTAGCACAGCCCCACCTGACTCTGTACTTTGGGTCCTAAACTGCTGGGGAGCAGAAGGAGTGTCCCTCCCTTCCCAGCACAAGCAGTTGTCACAGCCAGGTCAGAAGAGAAGCGCCGGCTCATCACACACGGCAGTCATCTGGCTGGTAGGCAAGCGCTCAGGACCCCAGAGCCCTGGGTTTGGTCAGCGGGGTCATCCGGCTACTCCCACATAGCCTTCTGCTTGGACATCCACGAGGCTCTTGGCTTTCCATATTTTAAACATTGGCTCCATATTTGTTTCTAACCCAGTTCTTCTGACTTAAGTCCAATATCCCATCTATTTGTACCATGTGACCAACCTGAGAGGAAAACCAACTAGCCGAGAATTTATTCTGTTACCTTCCAGTCTTTCAGTAAACACCAATATGGGCTCCTGAAAAGTCACTCTTAAACCAACACGCACTTACTACACACCTGCTGTAACAACACACACTTACTGTGTGTTCTGCAGCGTGCAAGCCCTAAGACTCCACGAACCCCCAGCTTTGTGACTAGACTCGCTGATGACAACGCCCCATTGCTTGTCTTCAGCTGAACTTGGTAAAATAGAAGAAACGGTAAAGAGAAGGACTATTCCATCAGCGGACCTCAAATGTCCCGTGTTCCTATAAATACCAGTGCAGGTCAAGATCCATGTTTCTCTTTCGTGGCAGAACGAGCCTTAGAAATAGTGACCGCCATGAATGGGGTATGCAGGGGCGGGGGGAACTGCTTGCTCTCCGGGCACAGCCCGTCTCGGGCTCCAGCAGCGTTCTCTCACACCGGGGCCAGCTGTTTCGGTTCAGTCACGTAAATGTCCTGTGTCACACCAGTCTGCATGAGTGTGCCCAGCACCAAAGCCCCTACCATTCCAAATGCACTCACAGGGACTCTTCCTTGGAGACCCACGAGGGACAATGACACTGGGCTTGTTTGGTGCAGGAAGGGGGGACAACCAGGCTTCACTGAGCGTGAGGAGCACGGAGCGAGAACTCAGAGCACGCGCCATGTTCAGATCGGAGCCGCAGCGCCAAGCTTGTTACAGGGCAGTAAGAAGGCACTGGGCTTATTAAACCAGTAAATCTTTGCTCTTAAGGTGTTTTGATTACATCTCCTCTGGGGTATAAAGAACACCCCGTGGAAACGGAATTTTTGCAGGGGGACGAAGGTGAGCATCTTCACAGACGTGCCCTCATGCCGTATGAAGAGAACAAGATGAAAATGCCCTCAGGAACCCAGATATAGACGGACCAAGCGCAATGCTCACTCAGCCGTGGGTGGGAATGAGGAAATCACCCTGGAAAACTCTTTGGCAGCACATAAAAAAATCAGATAACACACAACCCAGAAACCCACTTTATAATAGGTTTCACCCAAAGACCCGAGCACACACCTCCTCCAAGAGACGAGTACAGAATGGTTACAGGAGACTATTTAAGACGGGCCCAAACTGGAAATGGTCCAACACCCATCCACAGTAAACTGGATTCATAAAACCTCAAAGTAACGCCGTGCAACAGCGAGAACAATCGCCAACTGAATGCAACAGGATGATGGACAGCATACACTAAACCTCGAACGAAATAGGCCAGGCACAAAGGAAGGTCTACTCGTGTGATTCCATTCACATAATGGACCAAACCAGCCAGAGCTCTCTCTGTTGTTAGAGAGCCGGGGACGGCTACCCACGGGGTGAGCGTGGGGAGGGCTGGGGCGAGGTCTGTTTCTCAGGCTGGATTTTGCTCAGATGGATGCACTCAGTTTGTAAGATTCGTCCTACAGAGCATGTACATGCTCATATATGCTTCCCTGTATTTACACTTGTGGGAAAATGGACAACGTGACCACAGTCCTCCACCTTTCCCCGTGTAATACTGTGTTCCCTCCCACCCGCCTCTGGGCTTGGCCATGTGACAGATCTCAGCAAACGTGACAAGCACTGGCTTGTGGCACGCGCGTTTCTGCTCATGCCCTCGCGCCTGTCAATTCCCACTAAAGTACACCCACACTGGCCCGTGGGAGGAGCATGCGGCCTCACTGCCCATCCTCAGGGCCGAGGCCATCCCGGCCGAGCCAGCCGGTCCCGGCTGCCATGTGGGTGAGACGAGACGAGACCAGAGCAGCTCTACTAAGTCTGGACCATGTCCACCTGTGCACAGGTTGTCAAGCGGAATTACTGTGCAAACAGACGGGTGGTACAACTGTATACGCCAATTTGAAGTTAAAAAATATCCTTCCTAAAAATATGGGGGACTAAAACATTCTTCCTAGCACATTTCTTTTGGGGCGTGGCCACAGCCTGTAGGAAAGAGAGCCTGCCTGAGACCCTACAAGACAGGGTTCCCCAAAGCCCAACACAGGCCCGAGCCAGCCCGGAACACCGGAAAGCCACGTGCAGGTATCTCTGAGGCATCTGAAAATTCCCTCCTTCTGTTTCAGAAGGGAAGGAAGCGAATGGCTGCTTCGTCCACCCCTGTTTTTAAAGTGTCCTTACCCTCCACCTACTTAAGACCAGACGCCCCTTCCCAAGAGTCGGTATGTTGTATGGAGAGAATATGTGTTTCTGTTCCTACTATGGCATGTTCCCCGAGAGGTGACAGGGAAGGAGAAGGTGACCTCTGGGCCCCTGGGCAGAGTGTTTCACGGGAGCCCCGATGGCCTTGACCTTGGATGGCCTTGACCTCAGATGGCCTTGACCTCCAATGGCCTCGACCCCCGATGCCCTTGTGTGTGTGGCTGAGCGGCACCATGTTACCTGGGTTAACCTGAGCGTGTGCTGGACTCCAGACGATCAGCAGCAGGGGCAGCAGCAGGGCCCCTCCGTGGATCAGGAGCATCTCAGCAGGTGCGTCGGACCTGGAGCCTGCAGCCACCACCAGGGCGAGAAAACGAGAGAAGGAAAGGAGGTGAGTGAGGCCCACACTCGCAGCACAAGGCGCCACCGCCATCTGTCATCACAGAGCTCAGGCCCACACTGAGGACGCGAGTCACAGGCTAAGAGGGCTGACGGGACACTCACCAGCCACGTGATATGAGAATGTTCAAACTATGAGAGCACACACGTGGACTTCTCATTAGCAAAGGTATAGGCGGGTGACAAAGCTTTACTGAGACTCACACCCAAACTGTGAATGGTCACACAGAAAAACTCACATTTACAGTGTTCTCATAATTTTGATATTGATTCCCACATGAAACCAAGAAAAACGTTCCATGGCATTCACGCGTTGACCTCTCCAAAGGGGGGAGGTCCTTGCTTACCCTGAGGCACCAGTCTGCAGTGGCGCCGGAGACCCCGTGTCTCTGTTACACACAGGGACCCCCGGTGATGGATCAGACCTGAGGCCTCAGTGTGAACTCACATTTAGCTTCGTGGAGACACCAGGGGCAGCACTGGGTTTGTTTACAGACATGTGCACACTCACGGGTGGGCACGCACACACAGTCTCCTCGCTGCATCACCTGGGGACCGAGAAGCAGTGACACCTCCGTGGCGGCGAGCACACCTGGTGCCCAGACCTTGGTCTCTAAGGCCACGTCTGATACAAGGAGCCGGCCTCTTTGGAGAAACGGCCGCATCTGGGACCAGGGCAGGAAACACACAGGATGAGCCTGGAGAATCTTTATGTGCCAGAAATTGGGGAAGTATACACACAGGAAAATGATGGGGGAGGTGTCAATGGGACACAGGAGCCAGCCGACAGAGTCCCAATGGCAAAAGCTGGAAAAATTGGAGCAAAAGAAAAAAAAAAAAAAAAACCAAGGTAGCATTGGATTCTAGCCCAAGGTACAAAACAAAGATCTGCAAGTCCAAGTTAATATAAATCAGCAACTGAACAAACAAATGGGGAGAATCGACCAACTCCCAGTGCAGAACAAGTCTAGTAATTTGTGTGGATATTCTGCTCCCAAAGAGCTGGGACACCCCCCGCCCCCCAAGTACGACAGCCACACAGACACTTTCTTCCAAAGAGCACGGCCCGCAAATGGAGGAAGTAACTTTCGGTGCAGGAACCGGACACACCACCGCAGCCAGGTGGCAAAGGTGGACATCAGCTTCAGCCAAGTCCTACCAACAGTGTGGCTGTGATGGGAATGGCACTTCGCACCTGTGGTCTCCGTCCCCAGGACCCATCACCCCAGTCTCATCAGGAGGAAAACATCACACATCATAACTGAGGGACAGTCTACAAAATTCCTGATGAGCCATCTTCAGAACTGTCAAGACCACCAAAGACAAGAAAGTCTGGGAGACGGTCACAGCTAAGGGAGCCCAAGGAAGAGTGACAGCTAAATGTCAGGTGCCACCCTGGGTGGGGTCCTGGGGAAGAAGGCGGGCAGTAGGTGAAGACAGGAAATCTGAGTCAGGGATGGACTTTGGCTACTAACAATTGTCAGCATTGGTTCTTTGTGACACACATACGAGACTAATTAACGTAAGACATCAGTGAGAGGGCAGCTGGGCGTGGAGCAAACAGGGATTCTATGTTCTGATCTTTGCAATGATTCTGCAAATATTAAACTGTTTTAGAATGGAAAGTTTATTCCAAAAAAAAAAGTTTCTTTTAAGAAACACAAATAATCAACCAAATATTGGCTCTGTGGTTACAAATAACACGCAGCACAGAATTCTAAGCGGAGATGAAATCCCTTTGGGCTGATCGGTCAGAGGAGGCTTCACGGAGAAGCAAGCATGTGGTCAGGTGCTTCCAGGACGGGTAAGACTTCCGTGGCCGCATAGGACAGCATTGCTAAGACACTTTTGTGAGGAAACGGACGCTTTCTGTGATGTTCTCTAGGTAGAACTCTGACCCACCCAAAGTGGTAAAAATAAAATCACATATTCAGATGCTTCTAGAAGCCTGAAGAGGGTGGAGATGAGACTACCAAACACAAAAGACGGTGGGAGCCGGGCTGGTGCTGCACAGACCCCACGAGGGTGACCAGCGTGGTTTCGCGGTAAAACGTGTGCCTCAGTGGGCCCCGCCACCTCTGTGCCCATGAAGGAGCCCCCAGACAAACACGCCAGGGAGAGGAGCACACAGGCACATCTCGGAGACACTGGACTGGGCTGTGGCCCAGCCCATGACCGCCATCCAAACATCTGTCCACACAGAGCCAAGCTCCCGGTCAGCCTTCGGGGGGCCGCCTCAGCCCACACGGTCTCCCAGAGTCCCTGGGGAGGGGCCCCACAATTCCTTCTCATGACGCCTTCCTCGGGGGCTTGACCAGAACTTTCTCCCCTCCACAGCCTTCCTAGTGGATCCTTCTACGAGGAGAGTCTACGCCGCGTTCCCTTCCCCCAAACAGTCTGAATTTGCCTGCACGAGGCGTTCCATACACGGCTGTGAAACTGTCCGCACCTCGCTCACTCCAGACAGCTCGCTCTGTGCTCCCAAGGGGCACTCTATATCTTGTACAAAGAAGCGCTCAGAAATGGCTTCTCCCTGACAAAACACAACTCACGAGGTCTCAGAAACTGCTGCCTGAATTTCCTTTTAGAAACTGGTACTGGTTTCAGGCTGTTAGCCTCCAAAACCCAGTGGTTATTTCTGCTTTGTTCGCTTAAAACGAGGGTGAGCAGCAGCTGACAGACCCAGGAGCCTCTGACTACACCAGGTGTATCTAACCCCGGTCTCATGTAATATTCACGGGAACTCAATGAGGCTGGTTTTCATCACTGTGGTCGCTGAGCGGGAGCAGGTTGAAACCGGTCTGGTTACGCCACGACTCGTACTGAACCAGGGTTTGTATTCCCAAGTCCACAGCGCTTCCTTGTTGTTGTTTGGGTTTTGTGTGTCATCGCCCTGCACTGCCCTCTGACCGGCCGCAGCCTGGCCCCCCACAGCCAGGCTTCTTCAGTCACATCGGGGCTCCCTTCACGTCTTTCTTCCATTTTCTTCACTCCTCCCTTCATCTCTGTCACGTCTTCGTTCCTCATCCACTTCCTCACAGACGTGCGCCCTGAGCCTCTGGGCTGTTCCACGCATGCAAAGCTTTTGTGTGTTCTGCGTACAAATGGCCACACCCCCTAAGTGGATAGCACCTTCAGCACAGTAACGTCCAGTGCGGGCCTGTACCCCACGCGCCCCATGGCACGTACCCACCACTGCACCGCAGCACCTCCCGGGCACTGGGGAGGCACCTGCAGAGTAAATCCACGATTCCGCGAGCCACGTGGTCAGTGACAGCATCTGGCCGTTCTGATTCCAGACCTGAGAGGAACGGCCCCCAGAGCTTCCTGCAAGCAGACCTCACGCCTTTCTGCTCCTTGGAATGAGTCTTCCCGAGGGTGCGATATTTAAGCCATGTGAATGTGACCAGAACCCGTTCACATACATGAAAGAATTCCAAAGAGCTGGAAAGACCCTTCTCCACTGACTTCTTCGGTTACTAGTACAAGTCCCTTTGACAAAATTAATTCAAACCTTAAACATAAAAGTCAAAATGCAAAAACCCCTGGTGAAGTCATGGCCTCCACCCATCCATCCACTCAGCAAACATGTCCTCAGTGTATCTTCAGGGCTGTGCTAGGTGCTTACAGGGGCAGAAGAAAACCCTGTCCTCATGGAGTTTATATCGTAAAGCTAACAAGGAGTAAATCAGAAATCTAAAGAGACGCATGTGCCGTGCAGAAAATATCGTGGAGCAATGCGACAAAGGGTGAATGAGAGCTGTTTGGGATATGAGAGCAGGAAACACCTCTGAGAGAGGGGTGGGCACAGAAATAGATGCACAGAGCAAGGGAGAGACGGCAACCCTCACACACATGAGAGAAGACCCGTGTGTAAGTGGGCACTTGCTGCCTGAAAAGGGGGCATTTAGGGTCAGCGAAAAATTTCAGGCAATTCAACAGCCTGTTCAGAAACAAATAAGGATATATCCATGCCACACATAAAAGTAAATAGCCCACAATGTGAAATTAGAACTATAAAACTATTTCTAGAAAATATCAAGAATTTGCTATGAGCTAAAGAGGGACCTGATCCCAACAGAGTGAAAGGCAATGCACAAAATGGGAGAAAATATTTGCAAACCACACATCTGATAAGAGATTACTATCCAAAATACATAAGAAGCTTCTGCAATTCAATAGCAAAAAACTAATAACCTGATTGAAAACAGGCTAAGCACTTGAATTGACATCTCTCCACAGAAGACACACAAATGGCCAACAGATATATTGAATAATGCTCAACATCACTAATCGTCAGAAAATGCAAATCAAATCCAGGGTGACAGATCACATCACACCTGTCAGGATGGCTGTGATCCAAAAGAGTAAATAAACAAAAGCCAACACATGCAGACAAGGGTGTGGAGAAAGTGGAACCTGTGAACATTGCCGGTGCAATAGTTGTTTAAATAACCAAACTTGGAAAACTTTCTATCAGGTGGAGAATGCTGTAACTACGGTATGTTTGCAGGAAATGCTGTGCAATCGTTGCAAAGTATGAGCTAGAGCTCCATGTAGGCACGTGGCTAGGTGCCCATGACGCGTTTTTAGGTGAACAAGCCGGGTATAAGATTTATCTAAAATGCTGCATATATTTTCATACACACACACTCACACATTTACACACACACGATATCTGAAAGGTTCACACCATGCTGGGAGCAGGCATCCCTCCGGGGTCACCCCTGCTCAGAGAGGCTGCTGTGTGGGGACATGGCAAGGCACCTTGGGGACGAATGCCTATGATGGCAGTGACCTCGGAGACGAGTGTGGGGAGGGGGACGGGGTGGCGAGCAAGAGGCGACGCCAGCCCTTCTTGTGACATGTTGTTTGCACAAGGACAATATACGTTCCTTGTTGATGTCACTCATATTGGTTTTCCTGACAAAAATAAGTTTTCCTGGGGT